TATTAGGCATCCCCCACACATTATGTTCAAGTCAGAGTACATTAGTTTTAAGTTGGTAAATTTAACAAAATAACGGTGAGCTTTTGAACTGCCTATAGATGAATTGGATCAATCAAATACAACAAAACACCAGTCAGTCTTGTGTGGCCAGATATGATCTCACAGCAAGAATACAACATTTGGCCCTGGATTGAGATGCGAGTAAGGGTACTCCCTTTTTAAAACCCGTGTCTAGGTTTGTCTAGTGCGTGCTCCTTTAACGTCCACCATGCAATAAAACAAGCTATTGCCCCGTACTTTGAACTTTGCCATAAATTTTGCTCTCAGTGTGTTCCCACCCCAATATGTGTACATTCCTATGCATTCTCATTACATGATGATATCTGGTCCTGCGAGACAAACACGTGTGCTGTGTACATGACAAAACAATCACTAATCACTAACTATAGTTATATGCAAAACTGAACTTGAACATCTCCAGGCAAATTAAATGTTTCCTTAGTTTTCAAGTGAAAGTAACAAATCATCTATAGACAACACACTTAAATATGTGTATTTCTTCAAATTTAGTGCACTGTTGCTATTTTTGAGTTTCACATGTTGGAATACATAAAGCATAAAATAGTAAATGCGCAATAACTTGAGCCAGAGGCTCAAAAGAAAAATACAGGAACCAATATCTTGTTTTTGTGTAAAACAATAACATGCAAACCATTAAGCTTTCCAACACTCACCTCAGGTCTCTCTAAACTTCCTTCTAACTTTTAAGACTGTGTAGTCATAAAGAAGTATGGACTTTACTCTAATTCTGAGATTTTGAGCCTGTGTCACTGACCGTCAGAATGTCAGTGTCTTTGGCTACCCAGTGTAGTTTTAACGGTCTCGTTTTTTTTTTCTTTGTTAAATGTTTGTGCTAATAATTAATCAGTTTTCCCAGCTATATCTTTGCCTGGGTTCAAACAGAAGTCGCAGTACATACTCTGCCTATCATATCGTACCAGGGAAATTCCTGAAGCCACCATGGGCTAATCGGGGGTTTAGGAGATGACCTCTTGGGCTCTGACAGAGATGTAGATTGATGAAGAGAAAATCTGACATTTAAGTTTCTTCCACTGTGCCAGCAAGAAGTGCAAGGTCATCATATTTTGTAGTAAAAAAATAGTATATAAATGTTACAAATGAAAATAAATAATGTTACCTGATGCTAGTGGCGAGCTAATTCATTACATTACACACAAAAATAACATTTGTGGTTGCACTTGCGAACATTTTAGTTGTAATCTGGAGTCTTGTATGTCAAATGTGTTAAATAAACTGTACAATTGTGCATTAAAAAGTGCAGTAGAAAAACAAAACATGTAATTTGAGCAGGACCGTCCAGACTTTTGCATAAAATGTAAGTGGCAGTTTGGCACATTGTGTTTAGTGCTCAAGCCTGAAGTCTGAAAAATGGGTGCACTGGTGATCTTGGCCAAAAAAACAGGCCTGGAAAATAATTTAAAAAAATAATTAAGTTAAATTGCAATCACAGGATTGGTCTGAAAAATCACAATTTGACATTTTTCCCCCATTTGTTGAGCCCTGCTAGGAGGAACCTGAAAAGCAGTTAAATAGTCTCTATGAATACTCAGATGTTCTTAACTTGTAAGAAATTAAGTAATAACTTCTTCTCCTGTTATTGATATAATCGAACATTAAATGTCTCACAACTTTACGTACCTTTCACATACACCTCATTACAATACCCATATAGAATTACAGATTTTTAAATTAGGTAGGTGTCTCCAACCTTGCTCAGAAAGTGTTACCCTGTTGCACTGTTGAATTCCAGCCCTAATCACACCTGATCCAGCTAATCAAGGTCTTCAGGAACATTGGAATACAAGAACAAGGTGTGTTAGATTAGGGCTGGAACTGTGCACTGCTACAGGTTGCCTAAACTTGAAGAGTAGGGTTGAAGATGCCTCGTGTAGACCATATCTTATGAATTCTTAAAGAAGATCTAATTGAATACACTCCATAAAAGAATAGTATTGAAAAAGATTTCTTTGGAGTGATGCCAGAGAACAGAGGTCTTCAAATCCAGACCTTTAATTTAGTTTCTGGTGCTGGATTTTGTCATCACTAGTAGGTTAAATGAACTGTTAATGTAACTGATAGGCCATCTAGTGTCAAACCTGCCAGTATTTACAAAATCCACTGGAAACTGGATTCAAGGTCCAGATTGGAAGACCTCTCTAAAGAACGCTTCAATGGGTGATTTTTTTTCAAAGAAACGTTTGTGAATGAGATGTGCGATTGTTAGGAACTTTTTTAAAGGTTAAAGAATGTTTTCTGATGGTTGAAGTTTTTTCCGTACATCCAGGCCAAAAACCATTTGGGAGGCCTAATATTTAAGAATGTGCAATATAATACACAGTGGAATCTGTTTGGCATCTGTTTTTGAGGTCATCTCTCTGCTAATCAAGGTGCTTTTATAACTTGTTTATCATTGACCTCATAAAATTGTTCACTCATAAGATGGTTTATGTGGTGAAGATAACCATTTTTGAAGAATAGATCAACCAGCATTCAAGATTTTCGTTGCTGTATCCAGTGAGTTGCCCCTTATTGTTCAGCCGAAAACTTGGATTGTTTAAAAATTATTCAAAAATAAAGCAGGGATATATGCGCCTGGCTTTTCATAACACAAGGCTTGTATAATCCTCATGTTCTAAAAATATATAAATATGTGGTGTAGTGATATCTAGCATTGCTGTTCTACCTAGTGTATGGTATCATGATCTCCAAGTTGAAGAGAGGAATAGGCCTAGGTCTGTGACTGGTGACCATTTGTTAGCGTACGCTAAGTGTTTGCGTTTAAAGCCGTTCATCCAGTTACCGACACACATGGTCGCCTCTAGCACCCACTCATCTCCTGAAAAAGCGTTGTGTATCATGCCTGTGGATAATCCGTCTTACACTAAGCACCCCCGTGTCATGTGATGGCACTAAAGACCTGCTGAAGTGTTGTCCTGCTGGCTGGACACTGGTGCCATCGACAGGTGGATATCTTCCTTGCATAGGACCTCAAACTCAGGACTCAAATTCAGATGTTGCTTAAAGGATTGCCATAAAGCTTGACTGGTAATGTAAATTTAGACAAATTATCATAGTCTGCAGAATTATTGCAGAAGAATAAATGACAGCATGAACCAAATGTGGGCATTAGTGAGTCTTACCCTAAAGCTTGCACGTTTCCTAATGGTAATACACTTGCCATATAATTGTCATCTGAGCTAACCTCTAATGTTACTTAATACTTTACGACTTGCCAGATTGGCCACCCAGTGTCATAAATACGAGCAATTACAAAATTTATGGCTGGGAACTGGTTTCATGGTCAGTTTTTTAAAGGCTTTGCTGTAGAAGAAGCACGTTTGGTTCCCTAGAGAACCTCCACATGAAGGAAAGGTTGTCTGCCAGTTAAAGTTTTTTAGTATGTCCAGACTATTAGGTACTATTTAATAAGCTGTATATCATTATTGTGATAAATTACATCACAGTATGTCATAGTATGCTTTTCAGAGCTTATTGTGGATATTGGCAGTGCTTAAAACACTTTCCAACTGTATGTTTGATTACAAAGAAAGCATAATTAGTCCTGTTTAATTGGATGTAGTGTAGTGAAATGCTGAATACAAATCACTGTTCATAATATTTTATTTTTTGAATGTACTCTGTATTTTTTAACTTTAAAATGTCAGAAAAAATGTCTATATATTATGACATTGTGTATCCTGAAGACTTATTAAAGTATTGTAATATTACATTTGCCGTATCACCCACCTCTAGATTATAATACCCAGTTCTAACTTGGGAATCTTACTTTTGGGGTCATTTCTTTTTGGATCAGGGGATTATTTAACTCCTTTATTACTCATTAGTGTTACTGTAGCTTGCCTTAATGGTAATATGATTACCATATAATTAATGTTTTGCTTTCTAACCAAACGTATGCGAAGAACCAATGGATGTACAAAGGGGAATAGTTAAAAAAAGACCATTAAAATCATGTTGCGTGTGCAAGGGCATGAAAGAATGATAATTTGCGTAATATTGCCACTTATTTAAATTATTGCAAAAATCAATAATATCGATTATAGGCCCAGGGCTAATTTCCATACACTGGACTAGGGTTGAGCAGTATGGTGATATACTACCGTTATTGTGAAAACTACTCAAAAATACGCTTTTCTGAATAGATTATGGGTCTCATCAATATTTCCATAACGCTGAACATTTAACTGTATTCCTGAAAAAGCCAATTGCACAAAGCCTGTAAACATCCAGTGAATAAAACTGCATAAACTGCATACAAGTTAGTAGCTGATTAGATGTGGGCCCATTAAGTCATTACCTTAATTTCTCACATTTAAAGATCATGGTACATTTTAAATGTGCTGCTTTTTATGTTTAGATGTTTAGTGCCTTGTCCGTTCCGACTTGTTCTCAAACCTCAGAACATTCAAGTATTGGGTTATATTTCTGCCATATTGCCCAGCCTTACATTGGACATGCCTAGTATGTGTTTCAAATTGCAAATAGAGCATACTATGAAAAGTCCAAGGTTGCATTAGATAGCTACTGCTGTGCAATAACTAGGCTCCTAAGAGGTTGACTGTTACTAGGATGCACTTACTCTGGTGGCATTTGCTTTTAGTGTTGTTTGCTTCAAAGGAAAGTCATTTGAAAGCAGCAAGCCAGATCATTCAGAAAGAGGTTTTTAATAGCCAGAATTTTTGTAGGACTCAGCATGAGGGCTCATTTAATGTTTCGGTTTACGGTGTTGTAGCATCTATTCATTATCGTCTTTATCTGGTCCCTGTGTGTGATGCTTCTCATCAGCCTCCTCTGTGTCCTGTCATAACACTCTCCTGATGCCAAGAGCACAGACATCTGGCAGGTTTCTGGAGATGGGAAAACTGATAGCAACGTGTCTTTCTCTTCTGTCTGCTTAGGTTTGAGGGATGAACGCAGCTCCAGCTCTCTGACGCCCCTGAGCTAGGGCCTGCTTGGTGGATTCCACCTGACCCAGCGGTACATTCGCTTCACTCCATACCCAACATGCTGATCAAAGAGTACCGCATCCCCATGCCAATGAGCGTGGAGGAGTACCGCATCGCCCAGCTCTACATGATCCAGGTCAGTGTGCCTTCTCTGTTCTTTTAATTGCTTTTCATATATATATATATATATTATATATATATATATATATATATATATATATATTTTTGTTTGGTTTTTTTTTGTTTTTTTTTAAAGAAAGTGGTATATTTGGCCAGTTTTGATTGAGATCATATAATAGTAACATGGCAAAGCATGAATGCTAGTATTGTGTATGCTTTGTACCATAATATTGGATTAACTTTTTCAGCCATGTCAGCATAGGTGGGCTGAGAATGTTTCTCAATGATATTCATTTGGGTTTAAGACTGGGTTGGAGCGATTTTGCGTAAGTTTATGCTTAAGTTTGTGCAAGTAGTTCTTATTTAACACTAGTTTGTTTGTTGTTAGTTTGTTTGCTAATTTTGGTCACATCACAAATCCTTAAGCCATGTCTTAACTAGTAATAGCTAACTAATGCATACCTTGCTTTAACATGATGATAAAATGTGTTCAGAAACAACCTATAAACGTGGTACCAGGAAACGAGACGGCAGTTGCGTTGACTTTTTTCATTGGAAAAAAATTACTAGTATAGAAAAAACTGTGATCAAGTTGAACTGAATAATAGTAAATATCTATAACCTAAATATCTATAGCCTCAGTTTAGACGTGTCAGCAGCTGCTCTGTCTCACTGAATTGGAGCTGTAAATGTCAGTTTCATGCTCTGAGTTAAAATCTGGATAATGACTAGAGCTGTAAAATCACAGCAAATGCGTTATGGCATAGTTTAACCAAAAAAGTCATGTTTATGGTGTTTTTGGTGCATTGTATGTGGTTTTCATTGGTTTCGGCAACACACCTGCTTAGAAAGAGGAGTAAATAAGTGGTAGATACTAAGCTCAGTGTTAAAACTAATTTGTGTGGTGCAACCCATTTTGATTTAGTCACGTGTAAACCTAAACTTGGTGAACACTTACAGTTAGTGAACAGCTAGCCTATGTTTGAACATGTGCACAAACTGGTGCAACGGGCCACTCGTGATGGAGCTCAGGACATGCTGGGAATAAAAACAGTTAACCTCTTTCTAGTATAGTAATCTTGTGCTGAGACCAACAAAAGAGGAAAATTTGGTTCCAGCAGTAAAGTGACTAACAGTGAATGCCAGTGCCCCTTTTAGCATTATGTCACATTGGCTTTATTATTAGCCATGTTGGCACTAGTTGGTAAAATTATCCCTTGGAGTTCAGAGTTCCCCAGCTGTTTCACAGACATGTGAGAGGAGATGTCCCAGATATTCATTGGGTCCTGCTGATGGAGATCTGAACATGCTGGGAACAAAGACAGTCAGTCTCCCCCTTCTAAAGCAAGCTCTTGCTGAGAGCAACGAAGGATAAAAAGTTAGTTTCGGCAATAATGTGGCTAGCGCTGAAAGCTTTTTAGCAAAGTGTCACATTGGCTTTACTGTCAGCCATGTTAGAGTAGTTTGGTTGAATTATATTGTAGCACAGTTAACTGTGAATGTTTGAGTTGCTTTTTAGCATAATGTCACATTGGCATTACTATTAACCATGTTAGCATAGTTGGTCAAAAAATCCATTTGAAGTCAGAGTTCCTTTGGCGTTTCTCAGTCTTGAGAGGCCATATGTCCCTGATGTTAATTTGGGTTCTGATAATGAAGCTCAGAACACGCTGGGAACCAACTCTTCCCATCTACAAGAAGCTGATGCTGTGACCAACAAAATATGAAAGTTGGTTCTAGCACGAATGTGGCTAACAGCATTGCTTTTTAGCATAATGTTAGAGTTCACTTGCTGTTTGTCAGTCGTGAGAGAGCAGATGTTGCCGATGTTCATTGGGGTCCTGGTGATGGAGCGCAGAACATGCTGGGAATGAAGACAGCCGACCCCTCCCTCCTCCAGTAAGCTCACGCTGAGACCAACAAAAGATGAAAAGTGCTGATAGCCGTCAGCTGTCACCAGCAATCAGTACAGTAGCTTACAACACCAATTCTGTGATCTGCATATGTAAACAGCTTAGAGGGACTCCTTAATGGGATGTTGTCCTTTTTGTGCTGATCTGAGGTCAGCATTGCAATTTAATATAGTCTTGGTTCCAGCAGTAATTGGTTCTACAATGACATTTGGATGCAAAGCTATCTCGAGCGGGAACGCAATGGAGTGAAATCTGATTGGAATGGTTGTAGCCATCTCAAAGGGCAGGAAAGCATTTGCACGACAGCACTACGCCCTCTTGTCATCCAGGCTGTTTTGGTCTCTCCTCTGCAGTGAAGCCATTCTGCTAGCATAACCTGACAGACCTGTACTTGAAATATCTTCCTGTGTCTAGGGCAGGGCTTATACACCAAGGCTGTCGTCTAGGTTGAGGAATGTGGCTGAAGTTGAAACTGTGTAGAAAGTGTTCATCATGCTATTCTTGAAGGAACGTCTAAATTAGAAATAGGTGTGGTTATTTGAATATGGTATCTGGACTCATCTCATTATCTGTTTGCTTAATCAGATGCTCAAATAAGGTATGTGTAGTGGAATTTATGTTAAAAAAAAATTAATAAATAAAAATTGTGTACTATCTTGCAAGTTTTAAATATGTGTTTGGTTTCGAACCCCAAGACGTGAGCAGTTGATATTGCATCTCACATTAAAGGAGTATTCTGGTCATGTTATTTGTCATGTTATGCAATGTTCTGTGGCACAGCATGATATCCCACCGTGTCACTGGTTTAACAGAATTCATGATTTGCTTACATTACTTACATTTCAATTATGTTAATAAATCATCCTTTACTCATTGTTTATATATTAGTTAGCTGTTCATTATTACTTAGTAGCTGAATAAGTATTTAGTAATTGAGTACACTGTTAATTGACAGGTTAGTTTGTCATTTGTTCATAGCTTGTATACTCATTAATTGTTTGCTAACTGCTGCTTATTATGCTGTTAATAACTAATAAATATGTTTACTCATCTAAAGAAGCAGTGTGAAAACATCGGTAGGCACCTGTATTAGTGACGTAAATTCTGTTAATGTACTGATTTATTGTTATTAATTAGTTACTACTGTGTCCCCAGTGAAATGCAAATTCTCACTACGGTTCACGAGTGACTTTTTCTTGGTACCGTTTCAAAAAGAACCTTTTGACACCTAAAAAAATCAAGAGAATAAGAATAGTATGACATTCATTCTCTTGCTCATAAGGGGAACTGTCTACATATGTATTTCAGTAAGCACTAGCTAGTGCTAGCTAAATATTTCTTCTTTATTAGAGTAAACAAGCTCATCAGTTAATTTGCATCAGTTTCATTTGTTTAATAAGCAGCAGTCAGTACACAGTTAGCACATAAATAAGCTATAACCTAATAACAAATTGATCTATCGGTCAACAGAGTACTCAGCCTAAGGAACCAGTCTTGTGACCGGAAGGTCGTCCGTTCAATCCCCTGAGCAGACAGTACGTGACTGAAGTGCCCTTGAACAAGGCACCTAACTCCCATCTGCTCCCCAGGCGCTGTGGGCAAGTGTGCTCACTGCCCCTAGTGTGTGTGCATTCACTAGTGTGTTTGTGGGTGTTTCACTGCACAGATGGGTTAAATGTGGAGGTGCATTTCCCTGTCGTGTGATTAATAAAGGGTAACTTAAGTACATAATTAGTTATTAAGTGATATTAATATTGAATAATAACATATTAAGGGGGTAATTAGTCTGTTTGTGACCCTTATTGTGTTAACCATGATTTTGTATCATTTTCATGTTTTCTTTTATCAGTATTCTCACACTACAGTACCCAGCATGCATTATGAAAACATGTCATACAGCCCATGGGAATCCCTGTGGTGTCAAAGAGTCGTGACTGCTGGCGTAGCCACAGATCTATTGGCTAACCAAGCTAACATTAGTCACTGCTTATCTCCGGCATTCTAAAGAATTCTTCGCCAAATAGTCACCAGAGACAAGTTCTTTAACTTTTCAGCTGGAGAAAAGAAGCTATACTGCAGTGAGGTATTTAGATAGCCAGGTAGCTGCTTTGCTACCTTTAGTTTTAGCTTCTTGTCATACTCTTGTCATACTACAGTTACATGGCTGCAATAAGATATTTATCTTCCTGGCAGTAATGTTAGCTGTGTAATGCCTTCCTTCTGCACCCAAAAATTTTAACATGAATTTCAGAATCTCTTAGTGTGCCCCTTATTAGCCTGAGACTGGTTAAAGATGGTTTGGTTCCACAAATAATAAGTCAACTCCTCCCTGCTTCTTCTCTCTGCACTGAGGGACTGTTGAGAGCAGGTCGTGACTGCAGTGACACACGTGGGCTGGCCCGCTCAAAAAGGGCTGAAGGTCTCTGCCGGCCCACCCACGGGCTCAGCTCACTCTCAGTAGGTTTAAGAGGTTAGTTAGTATCATGTCACCCCAGCTGTCAGACAGACAAGTCAGCGTTGCACAGTGAAGCAGCCTGAGGAAGAATCCTGTACCACACTCTTTCCCCAGGGTGGAAAACAGACAAGCGAGGACGGGCACTCCAGAAAAACTGGACTAGATTAAACTTGATTACTCATTATTCATTTTTTGAAATTGGTTAAAATGTACTCCTCGTTTAATCAACAATACTTAGTTTGCATGATGATAATGCTTTTTTGAAATTCTTCTGTAGGTCTCTAATAGGGCTGAAACTCAAGCAAGTAGTCAAACAAGGTGAAGAGTGAAACAGTAAAACGTCAGATCAACACATTGCGAGCGTACAGTCCTGCTGCACAAATTCAACCTATTTTACTACATTACTGTGGCTGTTAAAACAGTTGGTGTTCAGTGTGGGCGATAGGGTGAATTAATCAGATATTGTTGATGATTGACAAGTACCCAATGCTGATGCTTTAAAGACAATGATCGCCATGTTGCGAAAAAGAACTGATAGAGAAGATTAATTTACGTTCAAACAGCTTGTTAAATAATATTAAATAATCTTAGGGCTAGGGTAACTAATCATCGTAATCGACGTTATCGAATACAGAAATATGTCAATTT